TATATATATATATGTATGTATGTATGTATGTGTGTGTGTATGTATCTCTCTCTCTATATATATATATATACACACTTCAATATACAGTAATATTGTGTGTGTGTATATATATATTTATATATTTGGCAAAGCTGAATTTTCATTAGTAATTTTTCCAGTTTTCAGTGTCACATGATCCATCACAAAATCATTTTAATATGCTGTTTTGGTGCTCAAGAGTAATTTTTTCTCCTTATCAATGTGTATATAATAAAAATATTATCAGTCAAACAGTTGTCCTGATTATTATTTGAAACCATGATAAATTTTTTCAGTACTATTTGATTACTGAAAATAATTAAAAAAAACAGCATTTATTTGAAATATAAATCATTTGTAACATTATAATATTTGTTTTTAGTGTCACTTTCGATAAATTGAATGCATCATTGCTGAACAAAAGTATTAATTTCTTTAAAAAAAAAATATATATATAAAATAAATAAATAAATACCCCAAAGTTTTGAACAGTAGTATATATAATTTATCTAAAAAATATCTATCTATCTATCTATCTATCTATCTATCTATCTGTATACATCTATAGATGTACAGTATATATATACATTTAATTTTTAATATCTTTTTGTGCATTATGCTGATAATTTGTCATGAAAAAACATTCATGTTTTTCACATTTTATCACCCTCACAGGTATGTTGCAGCAGGGCTCCAGTACGATGGGGACCGACATCTTGCCCTGCAGGTTGAGTTTGGTGAGGTAGAACACCTTCTCTCCGAGAGCCTTCTCCTTCTTCATCCTGCGGATGCTGTACAAGCGGAACCGGATGGCGTAGTTCCCGATCATCTCCGACTCGATATGGCTGAAGTGAAATGTCTCTGTGAAGACGGGGCAGGGGCCACGCTGGACGATGGTTTTGGCCCTCTGTTTTTTGGTGGGCAGCAGCACCAGATGCACTTGCCAGGAGATGTTACCCGTGCGTTTGAGAGAAGGAATGTCCGTCAGCGCCGTTATTGTGATGGACAGACGCTGGTCGGACGAATCGTAGTCGAAGATGACATCGAGAGTTCCATATTGAGCAAGAGGCTCAGGGTCGTAACCTTTGGGAAGCTGAGCCGCCGATCCACGTGCAGACAGATCCTACAGAGATGATTGACAGAAAAAGGAAGAGATTTAGAGGGAGTAACAGTTACCATCTGAGACTCCAGGTAGTGCATGGTAAGTAGATTAATATGGTACCTGTGCAGGAGTTTACATTTATATGAGCTCTTATATGATCGCTTTAATACTAAAAACAGACAGTTATGACAAATTCCATGATGGATGAAGATATTTTCAATGACTGATGGCTAGGATTTTTATTGCTACCATTCACATATCAAAGTTAGACAGAGGATGTGGCTCAGTACGTTCAGTGCTGCATCACACTGCTGTA